CCCCCCCCCCCCTTTTTTTCCTGCAGAGTTCCAGAAGGAGACTGAGTCTGAGGGCAGGAAGAAGGGCAAGTTCAAGAACATGAAGGTGCTGAAGCTGCTAGGAAACAAGCGTGACATCAAGAGCAAGTCCCCCGGGGACAAGAGCTAACAGCGAGGGGACTTCCACCTACCCCCTGCTGGCTCAGCCCTGTCCTGTCTGGTTCTGATGACTCCAGATGCTGTGATGGACCCAAGGAGCAGGCAGGGTCCTGGTCCGGAGAACGGCAGCGGCTTAGTACCTGCCCTTTGTCCCGCCCAGCCCCGCTGTGACAGGCAGCTCCTTGGCCCTCCTTCCCTGTCTTGTCCAGATGGGACTCTTAGCTGTCCAAGTTCTGACCCCAGGGCCCTTCCCCCCACGAGGTGCGCACGGCTCTGCTGCCTCCTGGGTTCTCCTCGGCGGCAGGAAGCCGGGGGTGGCTGTGCTGGCTGCTTGTGGCCCGGGCCCTGGCTCCGAGGCCCTGTCTTCCTCTCCAGGGCAGGCAGCCCGAGTCTGATTCTCCTCACTCAGCTCTATTTATGAAGTCTCTGTGCTGGGTTAGTGACTGTGTCCTCAGACATGAGTGGGGCTGATGGATGAAACCCTTCCTCTGTCTCCCAAAGTTCTAGGAGGTGCTCCCTCCTCTTTCCTTGCTTTGTGGGAACCTCAGCAGGACGGGGGCTATGACGGCCGCACTGGGTGGGGGGCCCTGTGCCAAGTCTCCCAGCAAGGGTCTCCGAAAGGCAGGCCCCAGTTGCGGTTCTGGTCCCTGGTCGACTGAGGGGTTATGCTTTCCGTAGGTGCTAATTCTGGTTCTTTAACACACCGTGGTCGAACGCCTCACCGAGGCTCCCCCACCCCACCCGCCTCAGGAGGGGATGGTGGGCCCATTCCTGCGTGGTCACCACCAGTGTCTCCTCACATTCCTCTGCTGTTTGTTCTTTCCTGACTCATTCTCACCAAAGGACTGATGGCCACTCACCCCACTGGGAGGAGCCGATGGGGACAACGCCTTTTCCCCAGGGACTCTGCCAGCAGCTCTTGGTCAAAGCACTGTTGCCATAAGCTATTTCTGGGGACCTAGCGCCCCCTTCCCTCAGCACACCTCTGGGGAAAGATCGCACTGTATTAACTCGTGAGGGTTTTCCTCACCAACAATAAATGGAGACAACCTCATTGCCAGTGCCCTGCAGCCTCAGGGTGCTGCTCCCTTGGCCAGGTCTGCCTTTCCTGCCCCCACTGCGCCTGTGGCCGGGCATCACTGGTGGCCTAGGAGGGGCATGTAGGAGCTGTCCTCCAGCAGGGGCTTTGGCCCTCGCTGTCTGCCATTGAGCAGGATTCCCTTGCTCTGCAGAGAGAGGTGGCTCCTGCCCCTGTGTAGCCCCTGGTGGCCTCCGTCCAAATGTGCCTGTTGACCTGGAGCCAGGACACACGAACTGGGCTGGGGGTAACCTAAGGGATGGCTCCGCTGGGCTGCCTCCCTGTCAGGAGACTTGGGTGGTGGGGACTAGGGTGAACTGGATGTGTCCCTGCCACAGCTAAAGGGGGAAGTTCTTCCTGAGGTCAAGTAGCTGTGGGAAATATGGCCCAGTGTCGGCAGATCTTTACATTTTTCAGAAGCTGCTAGAAATCCAGGTTGTATGTATGTGTAATTTGTAAACGTTGGCAACTAATAGGAAATTAAATCAAGGGTAGGCTGAACTTCTCCTGGGGTTCGTTTGCTGCCTCTGGGCCATGTGGTGGGGCCTCTGAGGTGGAGGATGGCTGTCCTTGTCATGCTGCGCCCTCACCTTGGCTTCTGGAGGGTGTGTGGACACAGGTTCTCGTGGAATGTTTCTGAACCAGCCCTTGATCTGGCCCCCCTGCTCGCTTATCTGTTTGAGGCTGCAGGCAGAGTTTGCCCTACAAACCAAAACTTGGGTCATGTGGCCTGTACGATTATAAGAATCCCTCCGGGTGGGAGGGTTGGTTGAAATTTCCAAAATATTTTGATTTATGGAAATGGGAAAGTGACACAATACTGGGGACTGTAGGGCTCATGGTTATCAAAAGACGTGGGGACCATGTACTGTGTGCCAGGCACAGGGACTACTCGTGGGCAGATGCCTCCGAGGCTGGGCCTCACAGATGAGCAGTCGGAGCTGGGGGTGGGGGTGGGGGTGCCCAAGCTCATGCAGCACAGGCTGTGATCGGAACACCAAGGCCAGGCTCTTGGTCTGCATCCTTCCCAGCCCTGTGTTTCTTCCTGTGGGCTGTGGGTTTAGTGGAAAGACATAAAGCTGACTTTTACTCCTGAGTCTGTACTTGCTAGTGAAATGTCCTTGTCTGTAGTATGGTGGTGAGTCTTCGTTTTCACACAGGGATGACAAGCCACTGCAGGGGTGTATGGAGAGAACTGCCTGCAAGGGAGATTCCGCACCTGCCATGGTGCCCACCGTGGGGCGCTCACGAAGCGCTGGTTCCTATCCACTTGAAATGTGCAAATAGCTCGAAACATGCTTGAAAGTGTCTAACTCCTTGAACAAATAAGCCTTATCCCTCTGACAACAAAACAATGTGTGTAATGACCTGCGTTACATGTGTTTTATTGGCCAATTAATTACAGTGGTTAAACATTTGCCTAAGGCTGTAAGAAGTCAAATAAGTAGGTCCTAAGACGGGTCGGAAGAAGGGGTCATATTCATTCCCAAGGTCAGAAAAGTAAATGAGGGGACACACAGTGGAGATGGTGGGAAGAGGGCTCGCTGGATGCCCTTAGACATTTGCCCAAGATGGTGAGACTCAGGCCTTGCTTTCACTGTGTACGGGGCTCTTTCCCCAAGAAAAGACTCAAAGTCGTGTGTGTGTGTGTGTGTGTGTGTGTGTGAGTGAGTGTGTGTGTGTGTGTGTGTGTGTGTGAGTGTGTGTGTGTGTGTGTGTGTGAGAGAGAGAGAGTGTGTGAGTGTAATGGGATCTCAGAGACACAGCTGACCCAGGACCCCTGGGCAGTCTCGAGAACAGCTCATTCTCTGATGTGGTCCATTTCCCAGGGTGCTGTGTATGCCCTGGGTACCCTAGGCCAGGGCAGTGCTGTGTGACCATTTGACATGGCCGAAGGCCAGAGTGGGTGGCTGACCTGGGGGTGGCCCTGCTTGGCAACGGGGTGGGCTCCAGCCGTCAAGGTTTGGCTACTCTGCCTCCGTCTCTGGAGACAGATCAAGTGGTGGCGAGAGCCTTCCTAAGTTCCTCGCTCCTCTGGCGGTCAATGTCTTCCATTTCCCGTACTTTCTGCAAAGGGCATCAGGGAAAGCTGGGCATAAGGGCAGGAACTCTAGGAGCCAACATAGATGTGAGGCTAGAGCTGGACTCCGCAAACCTCAGCCACAGCTGGCTCTTCATTTCTACTCCGATCTCACCCTCCACGTTGCGGTGGACGTGTCCCCTCCCGCTTGCCTGCTGCTTCTCCTACCTGGGAGATTTCAGCAAGGATGATCCCTTGGTACTGTCTGCCCTGTCCCAGGGCCTCCATGTCAGCCAGGAATTCCTTCCTCTCCTGGACTTCCTTGACCACTGGACAGGGAGAAGGGTCGTCATTGTACAGGGCAAAAGGGGCCACCAGGCTCCTGGAGGGGTGGGGGCAGGGGCTGCCTCCGGGAGAGGAAGCGGTTCTGTGGTCAGACACGTCCTCGCTAGTCGGCCCTTGGGCTCAGCCCTCCCTGATTCTTGGCCCCCACACTCCCCTCCCCAGCATAACTGGCCATGGTGACTCACGTTCTTCAAACCGGTCGGGCGCCGGGGCCGGGTCCTCATGGCGCACAGGACGGGGCTTGCTTTCCAGTCCCTCCTTATCTTTCCCCGTGGCAAAGATGCTTTGGAGTCTTCGCTTCTCCTTCTCTAGATCTCCTGGGAGGCCCAAAAAAGGCCTAGTTAAGGCATGAAGGGCACCCCTATTCGTGGTCGGTGTTCCCAGGCGGGTGTGCTTGCTCCTGGGCGCCTGGGGAACAGGGAGGGGGCTTCTGCAACTCTGGTACCTTCTGCCCAGGGTGCTTCTGAGCCTGTGATGTCACGATAGGCAGGAAAAGGGGTTGGGAGAACCAAGAAGAGAGCTTTGTCAGAGCCCACACACTGCATTGGTACAGAGCAAGGCTAAGAAAACTCGGGATCGCCACCTGGCAGCCTGTGTGCAGAGGCTGCGTGCAGAGTGGGAGGGGCTGGGCCAAGACTTAAGTGCCCTGGAGGAAGGCGGATGAAGGGCTCCCCGAAGTAGGCCGAGTGCAGAGAGCTCTGGATTCAAGGCACCGTGTAAACTTGAGAGAGCAGTGATCATGAGATCTGGCGATCAGCCACTCATCAGAGATTCACAGAATTCAGTTAATTGTTAAAGAGCATTCTGGAAAAATTTTGAAAAGGACCACCTAACTGTTTTCCCCTGCACCCCGAATGCCCCCAAGCTAACATGCCAAGGCTCAAGAACATTGGTATAAACAGCGGGAGATATTTGACTAGACACATGCGCACCTGCCCTGTGGGCTGCTCATCCCCCCTCACCCCCACCCCCTCATGGAAGGAGGTAGAAGAGGGGCTCTGGTCCAGGCCCTCTAACTTACGGGTGGCTCGAGGCTTGAACTGCTCCCTGCTGTAGGCCCCATTGGCCTGGCACATGCTGGCAGGCCGGAGGTGGGACCGGACCGTCAGGATGGGAGGCAGGCAGACATCTGAGGCCGGCTGCTTGGAAGGCACGACCCTCTGGCTGGATGTTGGGCTGCAGTATAGGGGCAGAGCGTCTCCTTCTGAGGAAGACAAGGTTGGGGTGGGTGGGTCCACTGGCCTTTTTAAACTTATGAAAGTGGTACCTGCCTATTATAATAAGGCTAACAGTACAGAAGAGTCTTCCCTTCTCCCTCCAATCTCCTCTGCAATGAGCAATGGTAACAATTTGGTCTTGGTCCATTTTGTTTGACGCTTATATGAACATGTTCAAAGATATATGCGCATAGGTAAGACTCGATTTTCCAACAGTGGACCATACCGTGTTACATTCAATAATAGATTCTTCACTTGATTTATCATGGCTCTCTTTCCAGATCACTCCATTTATATATAACTTATTTTTTACAGCTGTATACTAGTCCTTACAGTGGCTACATTATATATCCAACTAGTCTCCTAGTTTCAGAAATTCAGGCTGTTTTTATTTTTACTACTTCAAACAATGCTGCAATAAACATTCTTGTACATCAAGCCTTCGTACTGGTGCTTTTATTTCTATAGATAGATTCCTAAAACCTGCTTGATCCACGGGTAAGGAGGGATGGTTTAGATGGTAATAGACATGAATCCTTCCTTCTGTCCATCCCCACTGCCTTGGCCCAGACCTGGGGCTCCTCCGCCAGGCCAGCTAAGTGTGTCACCTCCTATCTGGTCTATTGGGCCCTCCTTTCAATTGTCCTAAAGCCCAGCTTGCCCCGCCCACTGTTTGGATCTGCCCCTGTCTACCTCTTCTATCATCTACCCAGCAAATACAAAATAAGCATCTACTCTGTGCCAGGCCCAGGACACTGGGGGTAGAGTGGTAAGTAAGACAAAGTCTGACCTTCGTGGCACCTGCATTTGGAGGTGTGGAAGATGATGAAATAAAACATATAGTATATTAGGTAGTAGAGAATAGTGTGTGACAGAAAGATTTACAATTTAAATAGGGAAGCCCCCAGGAAGAGGATAACATTTGAGAAAAGACCCGATAGTGGTGAGGGGCCAGCTATGCAGATATTTCAGGGAAGAGCACTTGAGGCAGAGGGAACAGCTGGAGCAAAGGCCTGAGTGGGGAACCTGCCTGGAGTGCCTGAGAAACAGCTAGGGGGCCGGGGGCCGGGGAAAGGAGTGAGCAAGGGAGTGTAGCCGGGGTAGAGGTCAGAGGTCATGGAAGACAAGAGAAGTACAGGGCCTGTGGCCTCTGGAAAGGCTGGCTCTTACTTTGTGTGAGGTTAGGAGCCATCGGAGGGCTCTGAGCAGAGGAATGCCATGATCCTCTGGTTGCTGTTGAAAATACAGTGTTGGGGCCCAAGGGTAGAGGTGGTCAGAGTCAGGATATGGTTTGAAGGTCAAGCAATGGGCTAGCGATGGGTCAGATGTGGGGTCTGGGAGATGAGTCCAGGATGACTGAGGTGTCTGCGCTGAAGAATGGAAGGATGGAGCTGCCAGTATTTCCCATTGACCTTCCCCTTCTCACATCCTCTATCCGGAAACATGGCTTTATGCATCTCTCTCTTCTAAAGAGATGCTGTTTGCCCTGGCAGGGTTTCTGAGTGGTTAGAGCATCACCCTGTGGACTGAAGGGTCCCGGGTTTGATTCCGGCCAAGGGCATGTACCTCGGTTGCAGGCTGCATCCCCAGACCGTGTGTGAGTGGGAGGCCACCAACACGATGTGTCTCTTTCACATTGATGTTTCTCTCATCTCTCTCCCTTCCACTCTCTCTGAAAAGCAATGGAAAAAATATCCTCAGGTGAGGATTAAAACAAAAAGAGATGCTGAGCTTCCTAGAATGTCCTTCCTGCCCTCTCCACTCCCTCTTATCCAGTGCCAAATGCTACCTCTTCCTTTGGCCCATTCTCAGCAAATAATTATGGCCCAAGTAATTCTGGGAGTTCAGGTAAAGGAGATAAATTTGTGGCTTGCAAGAGAATTTGAACTAAGGCTCAAAACAACAGTAGGATTTGGTTAAGGGGAGAGAAGTAAAGAGGAGATTCTAGAAGAAAGCAGACTCAACAGCATTGCTTGGAGGCAATTTAAAAAAAAATAAAATTTCTAAGGGGAATAACACTGCCAGGTGAGCCATGGAAGTTACTCGTGTGGCCTAACCACCAAGGTGATTAGTCCTTCAATAAATATGGAGCACCTAGGTGCTGGTGTACCATGGTGAACAAGGCAGACATAGTCCTTGGTCTGGTTACCTTTAGTGGAATTTCTGGGATAGTCTCTTTGTAGTCGTGCTACAGGGGACACCAGTTTATTAGTATGTTGCTGAGTGTGGAGACTGAGCTATGACTCAAATGTGTATGGTACTAGGCTCTGGCAGCCTGAGTTGTCCTCGCCCACAATGAGGAAGGACATCTGACCCCTGACCTGGTCTGATGGAGCCTCCCTCCCCCGGCCAGTGCTGAACAGTCACTGCCATTATCTGCCTCTCTGACTCTCCCTTCCCTGTGCTTCTGCGGTTGATCAGATGCCCTCCTGATAGGCACATTCTTTCTTCAGAGGAGGCAATAGCTTTAGATAGATTCAAGTAAAACTTGTCAGGCTTGTGCTGGTATCTTCTTTCTCTTTTTTTAAAAACTGATTTTAGAGAGAGAAAGGGAGAGGGAGAGAGACAAACATCGATTGGTTGCCTCCTGACTTGGGATCACACCCGCAACTTGTGTATGTGCCCTGACTGGGAACTGAACCACGACCTTTTGGTGTACAGGACGACACTCCAACCAACTGAGCCACACCGGCCAGGGCTGGCATTCTGTTTCTTAAAGGCAACTTTACAGGTCTCTGTTCTGATCCATTAAGTGTTGATTCATTTATTATTTATTTATTTATTTATTAAATAGATCTTTATTGATTTCAGAGAGAGGAAAGGAGAGGGACAGACAGATAGAAACATCAATGATGAGAGAGTCACTGATTGGCTGTAGCCTGCAACCCGGGCATATGCCCTGACCGGGAATCAAACCCGGATCGCCTGGATCCTAGGTTGACGTTCAACCACTGAGCCACGCCCGGCCGGGCTAAATGTGGACTCATATAAATGTCAGAAAGTAAGGCTGCTTTCAAGATCTTAGTGCCCATGTACTTCCACTTTTAGTTTTCCTTAAAAATAAATACTACAACGTATGGTCAGAGGTGAGCTGTGTAAAGGTCTTGCACAGTCTTCCTAAGTTGGAATTCTGCCAGTTTTCTTGTTTCTGCTAGCTAAGCTGTGAACAAATAAAAGGACACAACACATACACGGTCCTCTCCCCTGCAGAGCTCATATGGTATGTGTGTAACAGGGAGGGACAGGTTGCAGACATGACCATTTTGAGACAATTTTGGCTGGGCAGGAAGTTCCCATTGCTCTGTGATCTCTTGGGGAGATTGGCTAGAGCAGGACTGCAGGAGGCTTGTTGTTGTGCTAGGATGCATGTCAGGGGGAAGTAACAAAGGCCCCTTAAGGTTAGTTCCCCAGGGGCAAGATAAAAAAATCTATTCTATACTATTTTGGTCTTTTAAAATAATGCCCCGTACCCTTAATATGGAGGAGCATTAAAAATGTAGCCCAGAATCCCTCTGCCCAGGAAGCCTCTGTGGACTGACTTACTTTTCATGGTGTCCAAAATGTGGCGCTGTTGGAATTTAGTCAGTTTGGATTCCTTCATCATCGCTGCAAGATAAAGCACTTCAATGAGGCCTCCTGGGCTGCAGGCAGCAGCCTTCATCTCACACCACGGAAATTTAAAATTGTCACCTCCTACCCCCATTCTGCACCTGAGTACTCCCCCTCTTCCTCTCCTGCTTTATTTTTTTAATATAGGACTAATCACCATCTAAGTTCCATATATTTTCCTCATTTATCATTTGTTATCCTCCTACTAAAATATTTGCTCCGTGAGAGCAAAAGTTTTTGCTGTCTTTTTTTTTTCTTTCTTTTTTCTGCTGTATCCTCAGCACCTAGAACAATGTCTAAAGCACATAGTGGGCTTTTAAATTTTTTTCATTGAGTGAATGAATGAATGAATGAGAAAGTATTCATTAAGCATGTGTCAGACACTGGAGCTACAATAGGGAGCCAAGACAGGAACAGTCCTACCCTGATGGAGTTCACCAGCTAGAGGGGTAGATGGATACTGATCTGACGGGACACACTAAATACCTGACTACAGGTTATGCTGAGCCTAATGAAGAAAAAGGTATTTGGTAGGGGGAGGGCACATAATAGTTGGTCCCACTGTAGTGGTGGGTGAGGAGGAGATAAGGCTTCCCGGGAGGCGCGTGATCTAAGGGATGCACAGGAATTATCAACTCTAAAATTCTTAGTTCTTTGACTGTTGGCCACTTGCAAGTTGTAGGACCTGAACCCAAAGCTTCTCATCTGTAAAATGAAAATAGCAATTGCTAAGCCACAGGTCACCTGAGGGAGACCTGAGTTTCAGAGGGTAACTGTTATCACCGCTCTTACCCAGTCCTTTAAGCGCACTGACCTCTGAGGAGCTCGCAGGTCCCAGGGGTGTAAGTGGCCTGCTTGGGGCAGCGCCACGACTCCGTTCCTTTGGTTACTGCCTTTACCCTATCCTGGGAAGCCATGGGAGGGCCCTACGGAGGGAAGAAAGGCAATGACATACCCCGTCTCCCAGGTCCAATCTCATTCCAGCTCCCCTGCCGCCACCACCACCAAACCCTGCGAGCGGTCCCGCCGAGAGAATTGTGACGCTGACCTTCGCTCTTGCGACAGTGCCCGAACCTTCCACCCCGGACAGGTACACAGCAGACACACACACACACACGCACATGCACACACGCACACGCACACGAACGGAGACCTCGTCTTGACCCGGTGTCTGTGGCGGGAAAGGCCCGAGGAAGGGGGCCTAAGATAGCCCTGGTCCCACATGCCTTGGGTGTTACGCCCAAACTGAAAGCTCACCCTAAAATAAGACGCAAGTTGGGTGGGTCCCCCCCGCAGAGAGGCCGCGGCGGGGACCCCCTCCCCCCCCAGCAGAGAGCAGCGGCTGGGACCCCCCACCCAGGAGAGCGGAGGCTGGACTCGGGAGACCGTAACCACGGTTCTACCGCGCACGGCGCAGAAGCATGAGCCGGCAGCCAGACGCTCTGGCTACCATGGTAACGAGCTCGGCGCACGCGCAAATCTACAGCTCTGGCCCACCTCCTGGAAGTGATTGCTTCCGGGTCACCGCGCCCGCGCAGAATACGTGCGGCGCTGCGCGAGGCGGAGGCGCGCTGTTTGCGGATCTCCTCACGGGTCCGGGGCGCGGAGTCGGGGCGCTGCGGCGCGGGCATCATGTCAGACAACGAGGACAAGTGAGTGCGGGAGCGAAGTGGCTTTTGCGGATCCTCGGAAAGGGCAGGTGAAGCGGGAACCTGAGCGGAAGGAGGCTGAGGTGCCAGGAGTCGAAGAGCAGTGTCTGAGGGGACTGGGCTGTTGAGGGGCCCGCGCAGCTGGAGCCGGGAAGGGCGGGAGCCAGAAGCATAGCCCGAGGTTGGGCGCAGAAAGGCTCGGGCTCGAGGGTCCAGAGAGGATCAGCGGAAAAAGTGTCTCCCAGCAAACTTCCACTGACCCGGGCTCAGCGTCTTGCTTTGGGAGTATTGAGGTGTGTTAGGCGTAGTCCCTGCTCTCCACGTGCTCCCTTCCTAGAAGAGGGGCCAGGCCCATGAACAGGTAGCACAGCATCGTGTGAGATTAGGCAGTATAAGCATGTAGTACAGCAGGCTCTCGAGTAACGTTTTGTTCCAACGTTGAGGAGATGCCGTAGGAACTTAACTGCTGTTTGTGTCAGTTAATCTATGGTAAAATTGGTTTCGTGGTGCATTGTTTTGTTAAAGTAACAGAACCTAGCTGTGATGTTGAGTGAGGACTTACTATGTAGAAGTGCTTCAGAAGAGGTGACAAAGGTCTGGAAGGGTTGCAGTAATTTGGGTGAGAGAAGATAGTGGCTTGTATTAGGGTGATAGTAGTAGAGAGAGTGAGAAGTAGTTTTTAATTCTGGATTTATTTGAAGCTAGGGCCAAAATGATTTTCTGATGTGTGGGGTCCACGGAGAGGTCTGTTCTGAAGATAAAAATAGGGGAGTGGTCAGCTAAGCATATTAGTCCAAACTAAGAAACAGGTGAGCTCATTAGGAGAGTGTCAGTGGAGAAGAGGAGGTGAAATGCTGGACCCTGGAGCCTGAGTCTTTCTGTGCCCAGCCTCGGACTGTGCTTGCGGCTCCCAGCCCTTCGCTGCCCCAGCTCCAGCTGCAAGGGCCCTCTCAGCAGTTAGAGCATCCCAACAGGAGTGCTGGGGGGAAGAGGAGATACCTGCAGAGGAGACTGAGGAGGAGCAGCCAGTGAGAGGGGAAACACCGAGAGAATGAGGGGTCCCTGCAGCTAGGGGAGGAGAGTGTGTTAGGGAGAGGGAGCAGTCCAGGGTGCCACCTGATACGCCAGGCTCAAGGAGAACAAGAGCCTATTGGATTTAGCAACATGGAAATCAGTAACAAATTAAAGGAGTGGTTTTGATGGAGGTGGGTGTCTTTTTGGAGTGAAATTATGACAGGATGGGAAGAGAATGGGAATCCATGACATTGGACAACTCTTCCATGAATTTTGCTTCCAAGGGGAGTATGGAAATAGGGCCCTGGGGGAGAAAATAGAGAAGTTTTGTTTGTTTTTTAAGATGGGGAAGTAACTACATGTTTATATGCTGATGGGAATGATCTAGTAGAGAGAGAAAAGACACAGTGATGATGAATGAGGCCTAGCAAAATTTGGGCGCTGATGGGGGTAAGTTTGAAGAAATTAAAACGAAACACAAATTTAATTCACTCATTTTATATATTATATATATATCTATATATATAGATATATATAGATATATATGTATATATTTAATTCTCACCCAAGCAGTGAGGATATTTTTTCCATTGAATTTTAGAGTGAGTGGAAGGAGGGGGAGGTGGAGAGAGAGAGAAGCATCGACGTGGGAGTGATACATCGATTGGTTGCCTCCCGCACACCCCCCCACCAGGAGCGGGGGTTGAACCTGCAACCCAGGTGTGTGCCCTTGACCAGGAATTGAACCGGAGACCCCCCATGTGCGTGCCCACTGAACACACCAGCCAGGGCACGTTAAGGAGATATTTGTTGAGCACCCTCTCAGCATTTGCCCTCTGGGGCTCTGGCGAGCGGTGCTCTGACGGGCTGCCTCTGTCTGCAGCTTTGATGGGGACGACTTCGACGATGTGGAGGAGGACGAAGGGCTGGATGACCTGGAGAACGCCGAGGAGGTCAGTGTCCAGCCCTGGGCGCTCCCTTCTCAGCCCTGGCTGCCGGTCGCCTGACCGGTAATAACTGCCTGAATGCATCTGCCTCCTGTTGTGCCCCTGTCGCAAGCACCCCCAGTTAGAGTGAGCAGAGTTTCAGTCCCAGGGAGTGAAGAAGCCCTACAGGGTGGGTCTGAAGGCTTTTGTCCATTTGGATCACAGCCCATGGCTTCTGGGACAGTTCACTGATGGGTGAAATGTCACCTCCATTCATTCAACAGACGGGTCGAATGTTTATTATGTGCCAGGTATTCTGCAGGGTGGGGCTACATAGGAGCGAGGGGGAGAGTGACCTGGGATAAAGGTGGATAGGTAAGGCCCCAGATCAGGCAGATTTTGTAGCCTGAAGGGTAGTGGGAAGCCACTGATGAGTTTTGAGCTCCAGAATGGCACAATCCAACTTGCACTTTAGAAAAGAGCATTCTGGCCTCAGGATAAGAAGTGAATTGGGGAGGAACAGGAAGAAAAGAGAGAGACCAACTAGGGAACTCTCATAGACCTCCAGGTGAGAGACCTGTAGCTTGGACTTGGGCACTGCTAGTGTCATGATGACAGAGCAGATGAAAGAGATACTTTGGTGGATTGGAGAAAGTGGGAGATGACAAGGATGACTCCAGGTTTCTGGCTGGAGCAACTAGGTGGATGGGCTACTAGCTTCATGAATAAAATAGGGCTTTCTCTCTCATGTGACTGATGGAGGAAGAAGTGCTTTATGTCTCCTGGAGAGAGTGATCCCTTGACTTTTAGGCTAGGAAGCTGAAGCCCCTCTTTTTGAATTTTCTCTCTGCACGGCACTCTCAGGTACCTATTAACTGTGTCAGAAGCCTCCTTCCACATCCTTCTGGTCCCCTTCCAGTCCTCTCCGGTCAATTTTGCCTCCTAACATGTGGTTCAGCCCTGTTCCCTTTCTACGTACCTAGTGCTCAGCCTGGTTTAGATCTTTATTGCTTTCCACCATTACTGCAGAAATTGTGTTCCTGGTTTCCCTGCCTTCAATCTGCCCTGATTCCCTTTCTGCTGCCAGAGTCATCTGTCTTACCTGCCACATGATTGATTACTGTTGGTCTTCCTAAAAATGGTCTCTTTGCTGTTGCAGAGATCTTGCCCCTAAGGAATATTCTCAACAGAGTATCTAGAGTGATCATTTTAAATGTTAAGTCAAATTGCATCTGCTCAGAACCCTCATCCAGTGGTTTCCCATTCCATTCATAGTAAATGCTAAAAAGATGTACAGGGTTCTCCATGATCTGGCCATTTGCTCCCTCTATGACCTTATTTCTTCTTGCTGTCCCTGTCATGCCAGGCAGATTCCTGCTTAGGACTATTGATCATGCTGTTCCCTCTTCCAGGAACACTTTTCCCTAAGATATCCACATGACCTGTTTCTCGCCTCTTTCAGGTCTTTGTCCAAGTCATCTCAGTGAGGCCTTCTGTGAGCATCCTATTTAAAATTGCAGCATTCTCCCCTTCCTCCCACACCACTGCCCTACCACTTCCTGTCTTTTTTCTCTGTTGTCACACTATACATTTTACTTATTACTTTATTGTTTATCTCTTCTCATTATAATATAAGCGTTATAGGGGAAGAATTTTTATGTTTTTCTGCTCTGTCCCAAGGACTTAGATCACTAGCTGATATGAAGTAAGCACTCAATAAATATTTGTTGACTTAATTCTTAATTATAGAATTTATTCTCCTGCCTACGACCCTATATCCACTTTCGCTCTAATCATACTCCATAATTAGTTGTCTGAGCCTAGTACATTCTCTGTCCTCTGTCCTTTGGACATGCAGTTCAACCTGTCTGGAATGCCCTTCCCTTCCTCGTTGGTTTGGGAACTCCAGTGAATTCTTCTAGACTAGCTCAGGTCTCATCTCCGGACTGTCTTCCTAACCCCTGTGGGAGTTAGCTGTCCCCCACCTTCTTGTTAACTTTGTTGCACACGTGCGTACCTTCAAAGCACCTGCTGTGTTGTTTACTCCCGTCTTCTTCCCACACCATGAATTCTTTGAGAGCAGAAACTCTTAGCTTTCTATCTCAGCACCTATTGTGATGTCTGGTATGTAACAGAGACTTAATTAGTAACTGTTAAATATATGGTTATATAGATGAGAAAAAATTGTTATGTTTCTGACTTCACTCTGACTTTTTAGCCACTTGACCCATTGACTCAATTATCCCGTCTGAAGATGGGATGATTGTCCCTCACTTCCTGCTTAGAGTGACTTGTTGTCTGTACTCAAGAACTTCTTTGTATGGGACC